AAAAATTCAGCAGTCTGACCCGATCGTGTCATCCCCACCACACGATCGTGCCTCATCCTTGATCCAGAAACGAAAGACACATGAAGTTGACCCAATCGTGTCTACTGCCCAACACGATCGTGTCCCAGCGCTGATCCGAAGCTCAAAGTTACAGATGACTCATCCGATCGGGTCTCCCATTTCCACACGATCGTGTTAGGACCTTAATCAGCCACATGACTCGTTTTCACCTCACATGGGCATTCACGACCCCTCTCACTCAGTTAAACAGGTGACTACCCTATCAGACCATTATGCTCATATACTTCATGATCTAGGTTGGCGAAAGATCGATAATCTTCGCCTCTTAGACCCATATGGTAGTTGAGAAGGTTCGGTCAAGCTAATGACCTTAAACAAGCGCTCCCGGGAGGCAACCCGAGTTTGTAGGTTAGTTTTTCTTTTCTTTCTTTTTCTTTTTGCATCGGATATTGGTTTGTGTCTCTTATCACCAGGTTGAGTTCTAATGAGGAGCTACTGAGGAGACGAGGAAGCTAGCTATGCGATTGACGTAGGCAGACTTAAGTGCGAGTGAACGAACATCGCGAGCTAAGTACTCTTTTCCCTTTTTGATTTGCTTCTCTTTTGACTCATGTTATTGTTGCCTCTACTAGACGAGAATTGACACCGAGGACGGTGTCCAGTTTAAGTTTGGGGGAGGATTCGTCTAACGCCAAACCATATCCATATAGAGTAGTGTTGCATGCAGTTATTGTTGCCTCTACTAGACGAGAATTGACACCGAGGACGGTGTCCAGTTTAAGTTTGGGGGAGGATTCGTCTAACGCCAAACCATATCCATATAGAGTAGTGTTGCATGCATTTTTTTCCTTTTATTTTCACATTTTAGTGCATATAGGATGCATTAGGATCATATATTTGTTGTTAGGATTGTGGATTCTCATATAGTGTTTAGGACATATAAAATCACGTGCATAAAACCGTTTTGAGCATTGATATGATGATCTATGGCATGAGAGAGTAGAAACGTCCTGAAAACATTGTGATCCGTTGAACGTGGTTAAGTTTTGTTGAATTGATTGCTTGACCTTTAGGATTGTCTAGAATGGCTTGTGGGATAGAAATCGTTGGTTGGAACCCATGGGACCGATGTTTTCTAGCCAAGTAGAAAAGTTTCTATAAGAACCTTTCCCATGTTTGCTGAAATCGGTAACGTCTGTTATCAAATGCATTTTTATTTCTTCATGTGCAGAAAAAGATAGTGAGGATCTCGACACTCCGCTGTCATTATCTCGTCAACGAAAATCGTTCGAGGATATGAGTGCATCGATTTGATGGTTCGGGTCTAAGTTGTGGGTCGGGTTATCCAATAAACAAAATCAAAAAAAAAATTGATTAGGAACCCTTCAACTTCAACGTACTAGGAACCCGAGATGCTAGCAAAAGAAAAAAAAAAGAGAGAAAGTCTAGCTAGATGGAAAAAAAAGAGAGAAAGAGAAAAAGAATGAATGCCGAATGCGTAGACTAGATACGATTAGGTAGAATGGTGTAATAGGTTCGAGAAACATGCTTGATAGATGATTGAAGTCCTTGATTTGGTTCTAAATAACGGTATAGATCCCATGGCTAGGAAAGATCATCCTTTAGAGAGGGAGATCATACTAGACAGACTTGATCATTGTTCACGGGGATCTAGGTCGGATAGAGGTTTCGCTCTCGATTATCATTTTGAGTTATGTCATTGTCTCGCCCTCCTTCCAGACCATTTTTCACGGAGTATTTTCTCGAGGACGAGCAAAGGTTTAAGGGAGTTACAATAGCAAATCAAATCGTTGAAACCACAGAGCTAGTGGCCTATCCGACAAAGCACTACCGAATCCCTTGGACAGGAGAGCCAAGATTTTGGATCGTGTCATGGCTAAGATGTCTTGTCGAATGATGGATGATGACTTTGATGGTCTACTAATAACACGTACTTTGGGTGATGTTTTGATATAGGATGTCTAGCGTATTTCACTGGGTTTTACATATTTATAGACATTGTAGGGCATATTTGGCTTCGATATTGCATGGTTGTGTTCTTTGGTGTTTAAACAGACTTTCACACATAAAGAGAGCAAAAGGAGTGGAAAACATGGATTACGAAACATCACGGACAAACCGGGAACATTTGGAGTTGTTTCGGAGAAAACGTGAAGCTCAGAAACGTCAGATCTTGCAAGTCCAATAACTTTCACTTTACAAGTCTAAATCATGCATTCTCTACATCATTAGAAAGCTCTCTTCGATATCTACACATAGAGCCAAGATCACCCAAATCCGATGTCGGAGCAGAAAGTTATGAGCGAATTTGTGAAGCCCGTCAAAACTGTTAAGTGACACGATCGTGTCACTTTCAGTCATACGATCGGGTCACTTACCAGATTTTGGAAATATTTTGAACTTTAGCCCAGAAAAAGAAGGATTAAGTAGGGTTAGCCCCCAAGGTCGAAAACATTCAGACTTTACACAGAAAACACACCTAGATCACACAAGAAGGGGGCGATTATCAAGAGGCAAGAGATCGGAGTAGAAGACGGAGATTACGAAGCCGAGAAATCGACTAAGCATTCTTCCTTTCTTCTATTTTACGATGTTTTGTTGTATTGATATGAACCCCGACGTCTCGATGTTTAGCGAGTAGTCCCATAGCTGTAGGTAAGGGATTGCTATGTAGGGATCTTTGGTTTTTAATTCCAGACTTTTGGATTTGTTTATTCCATTCAGTTTATTGAATTGTTCTTAATGCGTTTGATCTCGTTGGCCACTTGATTGAATGAACTTAGGGTTTTAATTCGCATAGACATATGAGATTCTAACCTGTAAATAACTCAATAAATAGAACATGTATTGCATTGAGAAATGAATATTTGTCTAGGGATTATGATAGTGTTCGTTCATGCATCTAGGGTTTTAGACTATTGAATCGAGAGATAAGTAGGATAAAGTCTGGATAGTGAGGTTAGACTCGAGAGAGCTAATCTCTACCTTAGAGCTTGAATTCCCTGAATCGGATAGATAAACCACTGAGTTTGCATCTTTTGAAAGACCCATGCATGTAAAGCAATCCCAAAGCCTGCAGTGTTTATCATTCATAGTACAACCGCTTTTCGTTATTTGCTTTATCACGTTTCATCACATTCTCATATTTTCTCTAGATCTAGATTTGGATTGGAATCTGATTCAGTTGTTTACTTGTCCCTGCGTTCGACCCTATCTACTACACACGATCCGTACACTTACGGTATTTGTTGAGTCTAGGAATATTATTACTTGATCATATTTCTACACCTAGATTTGCGACATCATCTACCATGCATCCGCGAGTTTCTTTCCTGTGAAAGGAAGTATATCGAGGCTTGAAATAGCAGGTGAATAATGCGTTTAACCACCTTATCCGTTGAAAAGCCATGCAACCACTGAAGGTGACCTGAAAAGTTTCCGTAATCAAGAAGTGGGACGCTCGAATGTCGAAGAAGAGTTGGCCAGATAGTAGACGCAAAAAAACAATCAAAGAATATGTGATCTATCGTTTCAGGTTGTAAGCCACAGAGACCACAAGTCTGAGAAACATTGATCCCCCAAATCGCTTGTCAATCTCTACATGGGCATCTATACTTCACTGCTAACCACACCAAGAATGAGTACTTAGGAATTGAGCCAGGAAACCATACAAATTATTGGTGGAGGGAAAATCTGGTGCAGTTTTCAAGCTCCTAACAAGGCTGGGGAAGTGGCTCGTGCTTATCTGATCAGTAGAATGTATCCGGAAGCAGTTCCGAGAGTGGTGTCGAACTGGACAATGTCCATGTATGCGGTTACTACCGCTCGACTTCAGGCACATGGAAATAGCCAGCCATTGTCCTGGTGTACATCCCTTAGCCATGCAATCATATTGATCTCGAGCAACCTAGGGCCCACCTCTCCAAGGTTGCTTGAGAGTGAAAGAGGGTTGAAATTCAGGGGAAGTTTTATTTGGATGTTGAGTAGCTCTAATAAAAAATGAGTTATACGTGACGTGTTTCTTAAGTGAATAGAACTGATTAGTTTTTCTGTTTTAACTCTCTGAGGATCCAACTTTTTCATATACTAACCAACTAACCTAAACATTATCATGAGTAAAAAGTATTGATATACACTGAAGAAGATATGTATGGCATTGCATAGTCTTATTTAAATAAATATCATGAAATTGGAAACCTCCAAATGCGAAGCTAACAGCTTCGAAAGAATCTACGAAAAGAAACAAATTAGAACAACAACTCACACAGTTGTTTTATTTTTCTCCAAATCGGATTCCAAAAAAAAAATCAAAACGTTTTCATCTTTTGCAGCGGTTTCTATTGAACGGAGTGTATCTCATGACTTTTCCACAATGGAGTTTTCTTGCTGAAAAACTCAGACACAACACCAGATTCCAAAATCTTCAAGGCTTCTTCATGTGTTACAGATCTTGGTGTCTTGTACTGACTCACCGAAGACCCTCTCGAGACAAAGAAGTCCATCAACTCGTCAAAAGTTCCCCCTTTTACCACCTTAATCTCGAGCGGGCCAATGCTTTTGTCATTTCTGTATTTCCTGTAAACAGCATCAAGATATTCCTCGACGAGGAAGCAGCATTCCTCCAAGGTATTGGGATCGAACTCAAGTGTTGTGTCGTTGAGTTTTGTCTCGAGTTCCCAGCAAAGAACGTAATGGCCAGGGAAAGAACAAGTATATACATAACTTGTAAAATCTGTCAGCATAATATTGTGTTCCTCAAGCAAACGTTTTGCAAGTGTCACTGCCTTTTCGAGGTCTTCTTCATAGGTCTTGTCCAAATCGATGCTTAGAGCAACTTTTTGTCTTCCTACGACTTGAAACATAGGTGTATTGTTGTGGAAACCAGTTGCTTGTAACACGTCCCCGACTCGATACCTATACAAACCTGAAATTCATAGAATATGTGAGAGAAAGATCCAATATGATAACCTGAAAATGATGAATACGGTTCCTTGTTAGAATAGCATTGAACTTACCAGTAAATGTTGTGACTACAGGTTCATAGCAATGACCGATTTTAACATCTACGAGATCAACCAGTTGACCATGACCGGTTTCATTCTCGTTTCTGTTAATCTCTAAAAACTCGAAGTATGCTGAGTTTGGGATGATGGTATAAGACACATCAGAAAGCTTACACAACAAGTCGAGATTGATCCCGAAAAAACATTCTGAGCTTCCATAAATGGCTGAAACCAAAGGGAGACCTCCGCCATAGAAATTCACCATTGGAACATATTGTGCCATGGAACCTGTAACAATGGTTTCGATGCACTTTGCTTTAGGCCAGAGTCTCCTAACTATGCCTTCCCATGATTTCTTATCGCATTCTTTCTCGATAATGTCAGCTAGTTCTGGGTTTCTCCCACCGAGGATGTTAGAAACTGCGGTTCTACATTTGACGTCGGTGATCCACTCGCTAACGTGACCCATCCTTATGTTTGAGCATAGCTCACGCCAATGAACTTCCAAGAATTTGATGACTTTAATGAACGTAGAAGAAAATGATGCACCAAACCGGCCCACGTGATCTCGTTGCGCTAACCCACATAGCAACTGGCAATACATGCTTTGCTTAGTGTCTCTACACATGGAAACATCGAGTGGGCTTGACAGAGCTCGATCCCTGTAAAAAAAATGAGGATGTATATGACAGTAAGAAAAAGTGGAAAAGAGAAACAGAAAATAAGAGTTCGAACCCGTATTACCAAAGAAACGATCTATTTGAGTAGCTTCTGATAACATTCGTTATGAAAGTTCCGACCCACAAGCCACAAGGCGTCTCGGTATCTCCATTCATGAAAAAAAACAGCAATGCTTTCCCTTGATAAAGACCTCCGGCTTGCCTGTAAATTAACATTCAATTTGGTTTCTTGTTTTGCAAGAAAAGGCTTATCTCATCAGAGCCAATAGACTTTACTTGTTCAAGAGAGATTCAAAGAGAGGTGTGAACAGACTCCTCCTGTCCATCTCCTCTGTTGTCATCGGAATCAGCTTTGGCACACCTGCCGAAGTCCCCGAACTTGCAGAGCAAGAAACGTATTTAGTAAATTTTTTTATTAACAAAAAGAAATATAACATAAAAGCATGTATATATTGATCTCATGTAAAATTATTCAACAGAACTACACAATGCTAAAGAGCTCATGTAACATAAGAGCATGTTTTACGTGTAAAACATCATTAGAATGACTAATCTTTTAGGGTAAAACACCGGTTTTGGATGAAGCAAAAAACCTTTTATAAGATATTGAAAATAGAAAACTGTGTAGATTCATAGATAAATGTAAGCGAAGCATTAGTTAGTGTGAAGATAAAAATACAACCCCTGTTGTGATTGTGATTTATATCAGTTACTAATAATCATATATCCAAAAAGAATGAGTCTGTGATAATAGAGATCAAACCAGACATCTAACTTAGGTAGCTTAATCGATGAAACGATGACGCAAAGCGTATGTTCCGCCCTGAATTTAAATGTCAAGTTGGAGAGGAAAGTGTAATTTCAATCACGTGGCTTGCTCTCGATCCCAAGATTAATTTGGCTCTCAGCATATGATATCCGATTATCCAAAAAAAAAAAAATCAAACCAGACATTGTTATTTTAATACATATCCATGTTTACATATATTTTTTAAACGGTATGTGATATGTTAATGTTTTGAATTTGATATTAGAAAAATATATATTAAAATTAAGTTTACAAATTTTAAAAAATTTAAACTTAATTGTATTAAATACAATATAAAAAGTTAACATAAATATTCGTATTCTAAAATAAATATGCAATTAAAATAAAAATATTATTGTTAACAACAATGATGAGTTGATAACTTCCTAATATTAAAATTTTCGATTAAAAAATATGAAAATCGAAATCAAATATTCAATAACATGAAAAATAATTTGAAAAGAAAAAAAGAGAGTATGTTAAAATTATTTTAACATACCTGGATATGAGTTCAGTAATGGTCGGTTGCGAACAAATGATCTCAGAAGGTTCGCCATTAGCGATACGTTCGATATAAGGCTTGAAATCTTCGTAGTTAATGACAGGCACATTCTTCTTGAAGTTTTGGATATCGGATCCGCCATTGAGAAATCTCTTGAGATATTCGGTTTGGGCGTTACGAGAAAGTACATTCTCCAACACAGATTCTTGAATTTGCTTGGCGTTTGTGGTGACATCTTCAAGAACAGCAAGACAAGCATCTTGGTTGGTCGGGTCGAACTTCGGAAACATGGTTTCTGTTCTTGTTTCCTGTAAAAAATATTTCACTTTTCCACAAATCTCTTTCAAAACATTCCGACAATGCAATAAAAAAGAAACAAAATACTGCATCATCTTCTTGAAAGAAACACTGATACCGATTATAAATAATTTCAAGATTCGGATTTTTATTTAAGTAGATATGAGTTTTGTAGATACTCAAGGTTAGAAGAAAACACCTTTTACTATTGGACCTAATGTGTTGGAAAAGATTTGGTTCTTAAAATTGGTTTAATATCTTTATAAAATAAAAAGGCTTTTAAACCCTATAAATATATACGGTTCTTGAAATGACATAAAGCGTTAAACCCTTTTTTCCATTTTTTGAGGAAACGAAAATGAACCCACCCAAAAAATCCGAAGGCAATGGATCTGAAATATTTTCTGGTAAAATTCTCTTACTCTTTTCTTTTATTTTCTTTTTTTCTTGTACAAACATCACTTCGAAGTACGTATATATATAGCCATAAGAAATATTCTAGAATCTATGTAATTCAGTCAAACATTTATAATAATCATTCCTAATCAAAACAATCGTAAGATATTGATTACTTTGAAGATATTTTTTCTGCACTAGTTAAGATTATAATCAATTCGTTATAAATTGAAAGAACAGAAGATTATTGCTAGCCAAACAAATTACCAAATCCATTCATCCTATAATTCCAAAATCAGCATAGCAAATACTTCGAAAACACATTTCTAAACTGGCAAGGTTTTTGATCAATTTGGTAAATTTGAAAGAACGAAAAAGGAAATATTTCTTACTTTAAAAAAATTATAACGTAGAATTATATGCCTTTCTGTTGTTTCGAATTCACTGAATTGATTAAAAATGCTTTGATATGTTGGAATTATGTGTTGCCTTTTCTATTCTTTTAAAATTACGGAATTGATCAAAATTATGTCAAAAAAGGGTTGAGTTTAGTTATTAGCCCATCCGAATCTATTAACTATCCATAATGGTTTAAATTCATAGATTTATCGTATTAAATGTGTTCCAGTAAAATTATGGGTTTAATAAACTCAATAAACTCAACCCATTTGACCGCGCAATATTTGTACTTGTCTAAATTTCAAGCAAATCGAATAGCCAGAGCATTTTCATTCGAAAATTTAGTCCCGAATCATACCAATTGAAGAGGTTTCGATTGAATTTTGTTATATTAGTTCAAACCGAATGATACAAAATAAAGAAAATTGATCGATTTTATTCAGTTCAGTTGGTTTAGGATTTTCAAAATATTAAAAAAAAAAGAGAGAGAAAAGGGAAAGTGAATCAAAATCGTAATGATGTATTTTATAATTAGACCCAAAATTGGATAGTTCAACCGGTAAAATAGAGGAACAAAACGTATATTCCGTCCAAAATTCGAATCTCAAATTTTGGGAGAGAGCGTATAATTCAAATTGTATAGGTGACTCCCCAACTCCGTAATTAGTCTGAGCATTAAGGATAGTCGGTTAAAAAAAATGTATTTATAATTAGGAGAAACTAAATCAAATCAATCCGATCCGACTAGAGACTAATTAATCATAATATAATAATACGTGATTGAGAGAGACTACAAGGAAAAAAAATTCGTAATCGAAACCAAATAGAACCAATCTGATTAATTTTGAGTATAAGTGAAACCGAACCATAATCAGTATTAATACAACAAAATTTTTTCGAACCGAACTAACACCAGACTCAAACTGAATCGAACTAAATAAAAAGTTATTTTCATTTTGCAAATTTTGTAAAACCAAATAAACTGTTCACAAATCAAATTCGTATAACCAAATTAACTCTTCTAGAAACATGATTAAAAAAATATCTGTGAGAACATAAGAACTTGAAACTTAAAATGGTCTCAACAAAATCAAATCCATTTAAAAATGGTTTGGGCCGACCGAACCGGTAAAATTCTCAAACACAAATTGGTTGGATTGAATTAGGTTGCGGTTTCACAATTGCCGTCTCTAATGAGTCGTTTAGAAATGTGTTCAAAACTATTTCATATATTGGAATTATATATTAACTCTTAGAATTTCGGAATTCTAGTGTGAATGATTATTAGAAGCTAAACTAGAATTAATTGTTAGAAATTACACTAAATTAATAACAACTCTAGATACCCAGTAGTACCAGTAAGAAAATCGTCGAAAGTATGTATTTAACACTTTTGTTACGATAATATGTTAATGTCAAATACGGTGTTGAAACTGGAACGTCGTAAGTTAGTTAAAGGGTTCAATATACGTTATTATTGTTTCTTATTAAAATTTAAAAAGAAAAATTGAAATTCATCCAACACAAAAGCTCCTTCCACTACATTTCATGTTCTTTTATGGGCTTGAATGTAGCTCGCGAGGCTTCCACGATGGAGTTTTCC